TTGTTGGATACCAGAATGACATAAATACTCTTATACTGAAACAACAGAGTTGTGGTAAATTGTTATAGCAGGAATTGAAAGATAATGCTGGGTTCTTACCTACATTTTCATATACATATTTTCACACTGAAAGACGGAAGAGATATTGAGGTACAGTATCTTCCTAAGCCTTCACATTGACATGTAGGGACTGGCGTGATGTCTCAGCAGTTAAGAGCACTGGTTGCTCTTCCTAGTACCCAGTATCAATTCCGGGCACTCAAATGGTATTTCACTACTATTTGTAACTCCAGTCCCAGGGGAAAAAATGCTCACTTCTGGCTACTGTGGGCATTGTATGCACAAGGATCAAGACTTAGACAAATGTAGAACATCTATGCACAAAAAATAATTGCACTTAAAGTACTGATATGGAATTATAGGCTACCAAATTCTTAACTTCAGGCAATCAAGTCCTGCATTGGACTTCTGGATTTCAGATATGATGAAATTCTTATGTACAAGGCACATTATGTGGGAAACTGTTCCATATCAAATAGAAGTTTACACAGAGAACATAACTACATTGCATTGTGCTCCATGAATCTTAGAAGCACTGTGCTTATAAATAACCTGCAGGGTCTGACAAGTTTATTCATCATTGTGCCAGACACACTGATATAAGTCAAATGAAGAAAATATCCAGGGATGTGTGAAACTCAGAGAGGCATTTTGTGTTGGAGAGTGAAGCACTTTGGGAGGAGGACTGTAATGCAGCTAAAAAGTAATAATCTTCCAGGTCTTCAACATGGACACTGAGGATGGTGATAGTGAAATCTGAACCAGATCTAACCACTCAAGATGTTCATGTGCATGGCAAGGGGACCAGCAATTTAGAAGGCTTCCCTGGCTCTGCTGTTGCCAGGCCAAGTGGTTTTTCTGGCTATAGCTGCTAAACAGACTTTGGCTGGAATTATTGCTGATGGAATCATCCTCTTGCTGAAATTGTCATGGAGGACGGAGAATGGGTTATTATCCTCTTATAAGAGATAGTAATTATCTCCTGATATATTCTATAACTACATTGTTTTTCTCTATAAAGCTATCACTCTAAAAAGACTATGATACTTTCAAATTTGTCAACAGACACCTAAAGTCACAGGGACAAGTGAACCTAGGTTTGTCATTCCATTTCAAGCTGCCACTGCCTCTATGATTAAGCTCAATGCCCACAGAAAAGAACTGGTTTATAAAACATGATCACCTGGGATATACTGTATATTGCTCGTGAAGTAGTCAGCAAATGATGACGAAAAATGAATAGCAGCATCAGAGCATATAAATACTTACTTGGAAGGAAGTCAACATAGAAGTTCAAGATCCAACTCAGAGCTCCCAAACCACAAATGACTAAATGTTCTAATGACAGGCTTCAATGCACAGTCAATGACATGTTTCTATCAATTTTCAGACATAATTGTAAAACTACCACAGCATAAAATCCTTGGGAAATAATAGATATGGTGACTAAAAATAGAAAACCTCAAAGGAAAATGAGTGGGAAAGGAAGTATAATCGAATAAAGAAAAAGGAAATATGGGAAAGGGGAAGAATAGAGGAAAGGAAGGAATAAGGGAAGAAAAAAGGGAAGAGAAGTAGATAGGAGGAAAAGACAAAGGGGAAATTAATGAATAAGAAGAGTAGGAAAAGGGGAGTGGATGAATAGAAAGGAAAGATAAAGAAGGAAAATCAGAAAGCAAAAGTGGAAAAATTTGGACCAATTATTTACCAAACTGACAGAAAACTGCAGAGCACTGAAGCCACTCATGTCCTAAGTCAGTAGAATGCTCTGCAAACTCATGAGCTACTGCCTGGGAATCCAGCAAGAATGGAAAGACAGACCTAGAGTTCCATGGAATTATATTGCATTCTCATTTAAATATAATATTGAAATACCTTTTATTGTCATTGTAAATGTAAGCCAAATACCCTTCCAAACATTAGAGAGTAAAAATAGTGGTATGATAGATGGAAAACGGAAGGCAAGAATGAAAAATCACGAACTCCTCAGGAAGTCATGTTGTAATCCAACACTGAAGCCAAACACTGAAAAAATTCTCTTTTTCAAGAAGTTCATATCCTAGAGCCCAGGTGCTAAATCTATGGGTCATTTAAGTGATCCCAGATGCCATAATAAATTGCCAACAATAAAATATATGAAAGCATATCAACCAAAAAATTAAAAGCAGATGAAAAATTAATTTAAGATATTCTGGAAGTGTGGATCTGTTTTATCAAAAGATTTTGCTGCAGCCTTGATTCTGAACAGAAAACATGCATCCTTTGTTTATGCATACCAACGCATTGTGGAACACTGCAGTTGAGGCACTGGCTCAGGTTTCTGAGTAGTGAGCGTGATATTATGCATTGCAGTCTTATAACATACAAAGTTTCCTTCTCTGATAAATAATAGTAATTAAGTTATTCATAAGGATGTAACTATCATATACATGTATCTCTTGGTTCTATAGCATTAAAATGTTATGTTTGAGTTGCTGATTTAACTTACATAAAAGCTTGCTAAATGGTTATCTTGAGATTAGGAAACAATCTCCAAAACTTCCTTAAATAACCCTAAGCATACTTCTGCCACTTTCTCTAGGGTATGAATATGAAGTGGGAATCTCAGCACTGAAAATTATAAAATAGCAGTATCTACCAACTCTGAAATATGTGAAGATGTCCTACATACTATGAAATCAGATGTTCAGACAAGATCAATTTCTTTTATAAAAATAAGCAGGCACACCCATGTCATTAACATGGAGATTTCCTTTCATCTTTGGTAAATAATAAAATTATAAAATAACAAAATGGTTTTAAAACCAATTTCCTCATAATTTGTTATCAGTTAATGTTTATTTCTATACCTACCTTACAAGATTATATACCTGATATTGCACTAAAATTTTCATATGTGATATTGCAATTCAGAAACCATACACTTCAGAAACAAGCCCTAGAGTACCCTGTCCTGGGTTTGACTTGAATGCCTCTTCCATGAGGACAATATTTATTGTTAACCAGAAGGTACTATGCAAATGTCCAATGGAGAGAAGCAAGCAACAGGCCAAACCAGTTATGACACCTATGAATGCCAAATTCCAGCATTCTGTGATACCCTTGAGTGGTCAAGAGTGGTATGTATTACTAGATAGTAACCAGCAGGTATATAATTAGACTTAAAGACCTACTCATCAAATCTTGATGTCTACCATAAGTCTCAATAACTATCCAGACCAAGTGAAGCTATGAATCTTGAAAAAGAATTTTAATATTCTATACTACTAAATGGGAACAAGCCCCAAGTAAAAGGCAAATAATTTGATCTCATAAACCAGATATCTGTAGTCCTCACCACTCAGCAGGAAAATTGACTTGCAACATATGGAAACTTTTATAGAAAGCCACAATAAATTGTAATACAGAGCTGTAGAGCACAGTCATAACAGATACAATGGCAAAATATTCGCACACTGAAGTCTCAGGGAACATTGTGAAAAGAAGGAGGAAAAGTTGTATTAGGCAGAGGTTCAAGACGCTTACTGCAAGAGTGTGTCTCATAGTAATGTCAGAAGCTAGACACTTGAAGTCTCACCAGTATAATTTCATGTATTTTAATTCACTATGTCAGAGAAATACTACTTCTAATATGTATTTGTATTATTCTTGTAAATTGCCTGATAGTTTAAACATCAGGAGGTCTTAAGAAAGATGTGACCTCTGATAAAATGGCAGACACTCTAGCATCCTTATAGATGTCAGCAGTTTCTTAATCCATGCTAAGTAGAAGGGGAGCAACTAGGGTTCCTTTTGTACTTCCAGAGATTGACCAGAATATGTACTCAGTCCCTAATGCAGGACTCAAAGAGAATTCATGTAGTTGTTGATGTACTGCAACGTTTTATCTGAGGGTGTAAAGGAAAAGCCACTCACGCAGTCTCTCTGTGGTTTCCTTCAATATTCTTCTCTGTTCCTCATTCTATTTTGAGAGGGTTTAGGGAAAAAGACACCCATACTCTTGATGGCTTCCTTCTATATTCAATGTTCTCGCATGTTCTTTCTATGTTCTTTTTCTGTTCTTTCTATTGTATACTTTTTTCTACAGCTAATATACCCCAACCTTTTTTTAGGCAATATAGGAATTACAACGTGGTTTACATTCTGTTTTTCAAATGCATGATTGGATATGAGGGCAATCCGGATGTGATATCTCTCACCCAATTGATTGAAATGGTTGATTTGGCTGATCTGGCTGGCTCAGCATGTTTCCCCTTTATGCCTGACCACTCCATGTGTGACCCTCTGGAAGGTGCATGCTTGGTCAAAGTGGACGGCTTTCCCTGAATAGAGGAGGTCTTTTGTGAAGGGTATACGATTAGCTGCTCTCTGCCACTAGAACCTCTAAACAAGCTCTATAGTGAATGGCTATAATGAATACAGGTAAAAAAAACATGTTTTTTCATCTCCCTTATGTGATTAAACATTTTATGTATGACAGGTGAAATACAAATTATCTCAAGAACCTACATAATTCATAGTCAAGCAACATGTTAAGAGATTAACTGTATGGACAAGCAAGCTATTGTTTTCAGGCCTTTTACTGGTATGCTGTAATTTGCAGATACAAAAAAGGACCAATTACTTTACTATTTATCTTCAAACGTAATCCTATATATAGTCTTATAGCATTCACAAACCTAAATGTTTTTATATGAAAAAGAATGAGTCAGATAATATGAGACATTACATATGCACATAGAAAATGTGCATATGTATACACAAAGATGCAGGCAATTATCTAAACTGTAATAAAAGTTAAAAGAATACATGTAAAGGAAAAGAAAAACAGAAGAAATGAGCACCAGTATAAGTAAGTAGGAAAGCACTCCAGGATCTAGAAAAAACAAAAAGTATTCTTTCCTAGACCTTCCCAAAAAATAGTTTGCCTTCATCACACTTCAGACAAAAGAGTCTTCTGTTGGACACCAGACTCCACTACTATAAAAAGATAAGTTCCTCATATTCAAACAGCAGAGTTTGTGGTAATGTATTATGGAAGGAATATAATGATAAATTCTCCTTTGCACTTTTATATAAAAGCTTTTCATATTAAAAGATATAAGTGACATTGAACCCATTATTTTTTCGGGCTCTGCAAATATTTTCATGAGTATTTTATGAGTGTTCAGGCTCTCAGTCAGGAGGAGAAGTGTGCAGGTCCACGGCTGCATGTGGTGCAGGCAGCTGGTGAGACTCTCAGGGGAGGTTTTTGTTGGAGGCTGAAGCACTGTGGGAGGATAGCTACGACCCTGCTGACAGAAATAATCTCCCATGTCATCATCCTGGACACTGCTGATGGTGAGAGTGAAATCTGTCCCAGACCCAAAGCCTGTGAAGCGATCAGGGACCCCAGTGCCTCGATTGGATGCATAATAGATCAGCAGTTTAGGAGCCTGCCCTGGTTTCTGCTGATACCAGCTCAAGTAGTTTGTGCTGCCAGATAAAAGGCTCTGACTGGACTGGCAGCTGATGGTGACCTTTTCTCCTGCTGACACAGCCAGGGAGGATGGAGACTGGGCCATCAAGATATCTGCACAGGCACCTGGAATCAGAAAGAGCAATGATTATGTGTAACAAAAAATACAAATTTGATATACATGAAATTTGTCACTTACTTTTCTTATACTGCCATATTGTCTGAGTATTGTTTCATAAAAATATTACACTCTGGCACAAATTATGAATTTCTTTTATACAAAAAGTGACTTTAAAAATACTTTAATACTTTGAAATTTCTCACCAGATATGCAGAGCAGCAGGGACATAAGGACCTGTGTCTGTGACTCCATCTTCCTTCCTCACCTGCCTGTCTAAAGCTGCTCAGTCCTCACTATCAAGGCCAGGTTTATAAAATCCATGCAGCTGGGCTGGTTTGGGGGGTACATGCAAATCAGTAAGCAAACAGCAAAGTAGAAGCCTGGGCAGTTGTGTGAGAGTGGCTGTTGTCAATCAGCAGGCAAATACACCATCAGAGAGCATGATATATCACTAAAAGGTATTAGCTTACTAGGTTCATTAATAGAAGCTTTGGTTAAAATTCAAGACATATTTAAATGAGGTGACATTTGCAGAAATAGTAAGAGAGCTATGTCAGATTGACAGTCCTGAGAAACAATATGTTCAAAAGTTTTACAACCTCAATTAAGGTAAAGTATAGTAAGAAAACATACAATAAAAGAATCGAAAATTGGAAGGAAGAAAAGAGGAAAGCCAAAAATAATCAGATAATCGATGCTAATTTTTTCAATATCTCCCAGCTCCAAAGCCATTATTATACCAAGGACAATGAATTCTGCCTACAGACATTTGGAATCTAGGTTTTGAGCCAAACATGGAGGAGAGATGCAAAGAGAAGTCCATATTCGCTATGTGGAAATCCTAGGGGCATTAATTTAAAACTAAGATTGGAGGAACTTTAATACTGAAGCAAAGGTACAGCCAACAAAACTAACATGCATTCTCCCTACAATTTCTGGAAATGGAAAGAAGGCTCCAAATGGGGAAATAAAAGGATCAAGATTTCTTGAAGAAGTAATAGATGTAGATCAACACTGTCAAAAGTTTAGTCCAGAAATCCATGTTCTACAGTAATCTAGAAATTAGCAGTGTGGATTGAGCATGAATGAAAATCAATAGCAATAATAGAAATCCCAGAAAATGCTTGAATTCCTGGTTAGTGGTCTCTGAAAGTATATATAAAATTTCAATTATAAACCCAGTATCATGTATAAAGAATGTGAAAGAGGAAATTAAGTCATAAATAAAATATCATGGCAAGGAGTCAACATTCACATATGTAACCACAGAATTGGGTAGAGAGAAGGAAGAGCATTATGAGTTTGAGGCAAGTCTGGGATACATAGCCAATTCTATGCCAGTCTAATCTGGGCATGGACACGCTCTCAAAAATATTCACCACTAATCAAGTTGTTAAAAGCAGCTCATGGTATTTCATACCTGTGGTAACTTATCTGTTACCATGGTAACAAGTTAGCATTAAGCAAATTATATTATTGAAAATTAAATATACAATTATGTAATATGTCCTTCCCTTATATTTTTCAATGAATGAATGATTTAAACGTCTACTTTTCAGGTGTAAATAATATATTATTTATGATAAGCACATTCAAATCTCCTCTGTCAACTGTTAACACACAATAATAAGAGAGACACGGTATGTAGGTCGAGAAAGTTCCAATCTCACTGTCAAGGACATGACAGATATGTAAGTCCCCCAGTCCGTGTATAACAAATTGTAATGTGCTCTCCATCTTTGCTGAACATTTTCCTTTGCTTTATGAGAGCTGCAGTGAGTTTAGATTTTGCTCATCAGAATGTGGCATATGGAGAGTGGGGTCGTCCAAATCCAAAGTCTCCTGCCATTAAACATGTGCTTCCCAAATTGTGTAAGGTGAGAGCATTGGCACTAAAATTATTTTTTAAATCTGTGTTATATTATATATAACATAAAAAGCCATAGAGTATTTGGTTACTTATCAAGTTTCCACAGTGTGTCCTGATGGATTAGATTCTGTGACTAAAGATGGACTATAAACTTGTTGGCTCAAAACAAAACTGGTTAATTTGCTACCAGATTTGGAATCAGGAAATCGGAAGTTGATGTTCATGAGCTCATGGGATACAGCACCCTCTTCCATGGACACCACTGTAGATGCAGGCCCTGGGAATGTTATTTTTAGACTCACACTACCATGAGACAGTACAAAGCTAAGCTCAGCTTTGCTGTTCAATCACACAGATTTATTTATTTTTGCATGAGAGTCTGTGGCTACCCAATATCCATGACAAAAAATAGTAGACAAAGGAAGATTTTTCATAACTCAGATATTAGCATATTATTCTTTGTTAAAAAAGCAAAATGATAACTAAGGATGTGGGAGATTATTACTGCATTCAAGATACATGCAAGAGTGACAGCCATGAAGAAAATCTGCCCTGCTCAACATGCCCAGAGTCCTGCAGGCAGCTTCTCTCATGAGGGGTTATGCAGATTCTCTGAGTCTATGTGAGAGGATAAGGCTGGGGAAGCAGCCTGTCATAGATGAGGCTCTTTGTCACCCATTCCAAAATGCACTTAAGATAAACCGATTAGTGACTCATCAGCTTCAACAGCCATGGATGCCATACTGGTACAGAAACAGAGATGATGAGAGCGTCTTCTTTTCTTTGATTTTTATATTTTGTTTATGGGTTTAATGGTTGGATGCCTATCTCTGTATGAAACATACAGAATATGGGGTCTACTTCCCTGGAACTGGATTCATAGATCATTGTGAGCCACCATGTGGGTACTGGGAATTAAACATAGATCCTCTGGAAGAGCAGCCTGTGAGTTCTGTTAAACAATGAGACATCTATCCAGTCACACAAATGCCTTCTGAGTAAATAGGCATGATGGAGAATGAGGAATCCCTGTAAAATAAAGGCGTGTGCACTGCTGAGGCTAAGACTCAGGAGGTTGACAGAATGGAAGGAGGAGGATGTTTAAATGGCTTCAGAAGGCTCTATGTACCTTGGAAACTCTGTTCTTCTTTCAACCTGAGATGCAAACCAGTTGGTTACACATGAAAGTTAGTTCATTTGAAACCAGGAGTTTGTAGTTAATCTTGTTCTTCTTTTTTCAGGGACCAGGGATGCAGAATCCAGTTTGCTTCTCCTTTATGACTGGAGAGCCTGATGCCATTTCTTTAACAACCACATCAGTAAAGACAGAGCTTATGGTCTCACAGGATTGAGTCCTAGTCTCTATTTTTTTCTGTGATAGCACACCTACAAAGCAAGTTGAGCAATCTTTGTCCTTCCCTTGGGAACATAGATTTCTTGGGAACACAATTAAAGAATACAACTATTATAATGTGGAAAAAAGCAAAGGAGCTTGAAGCAGCTGCTCACATCACAACCACAACTAAGAGGCAGAGTGAAAGATGCTAGAACTCACCTCCGTTTTGTCATTTTGGGTAAGCAAAGACCCACATGTAGGCAATAGTTTTGTCCAGAGTTGGAAGGGTATTCCTCCATCAATTAACCTAATGAATATAATATCTCACAGATATTCTCAGAGTCTAATCTTAACCTAGTATACATATACATGTACCTTAGCAATTCTTCTACCTCAATCATTTACCATTACCTTGGGATACATAAATTATAATCACTTAGTAATATATATATACATATATATAGACATATGTATATTATATAATCACTACTAACTCTGATCCCCTTACCAATAGACCTCCAGGTTTTATTCCTTCTAGTTACAACTTTCTATACATTTGTTTAGGCTCATTTCCTTTTCAGTAACGATCCTGAAAAAAATGTACCTTAGATGCCAACACACATTCTCACTCAATCCAGCAGAGTATAGGTGACCTTCCAGAAAGTTATTGATTTAAATTTAGTTCACTACATGAACATTATTCTATTCAGAAAGTCACCTCCTGTGCCAGTGTGTTCAAGTTTCTCCTTGTGCCAATTTCTCTTCTATCCAGTTCAGTGCATCTGGTTTATGTTGAGATCTTTGATACACTTGAACTTGATCTTAGTTCAAGTTGATTAATATGGACCTATTTACATTCTTCTACATGCAGATATTCAGTTTGATCATCACCATTTGTTGAGGATGCTGTCTTTTGTTCAGTGTGCATTTCTGGCTTCTTTTTTAACTTAAATTAGAAACAAGCTTGGTTCACAAGTCAATCACAACTCCCTCTTCCTCCCCTCCTCCCCTGTCCCCCAACAACCTCCCAAACACCCACCCCATCTACCTTTGATTCCCCAGGGGTGTAAGGCCTCTGACTTCTAAATCAAAAATTAGGTGCCTGGAGGTAGGTAGATTTATGTCTGGGTCTTTAATTTAGCTGTGCAACATGTCTGTTTTTTGCCAATAGCATGTAGTTTTCAATACTATACCTCTTTAGTACAACTTGAAATTGGGGATGGTGGGACTGCCAGCAGCTCTTTTCTTATTCAGGGTTGATTTAGCTATTTGGTAATTGCACTCAGTGTATATATTTCTATTGGTAAGATGACAGTTTTTACTACATTAATCCTATCAATACATGGGCAATGAAGATCTTTACATCTGATATCTTCTTCATTTTTTTCTTCAAAGACTTGAAGTTGCTATAATACAAATCTATCAATCCTTGGTTAAAGTTATCCAAATATACTTTATACTATTTAAGACTATTGGCAAAGTTATTGTTTCCAATTTATTTCTCATTCTATTTGTCATTTATATGTTGTGGGGTCTGCTGATTACTTTGAGTTAACCTTGTATTCACACACTTTGGTGAAAGTACTTATCATTTGTAGGTGTTTCCCATTGGAAGATTTAGTTTCACATATCATCTGCAAATAAGGATACTTTAACTTCTTCCTTTCCAAGTTGTATCCCCTTGAACTCCCTCAGTTGTCTCATTACTCTAGCTAAAACTTCAAGCACTATTTTGAATTATTATGGAGACAATGTGCAACCTTGTCTTATTCTAGATATTAATATAGTTGCTTTCACTTTCTCTCCATTTAATTTGATGTCTATAAGCTTGCATGTGGTGAGATATTGTTTTTGATTTATTAAACTTACCTGATGATTCAGAAAGCAAAGCCAGACAAAGGCCATAGAAGCCAGGCACACACCTTTAATCCCAGTAGCCAGAAACAAGATGTGGTGATACACACTTTTAATCCTAGGACCAGAGTTTAAGAGACAAACGTATGTCTGTGAGTCCAAGGCCACCCATATCTACACGGAGTGAATCATCCTAAAAGAGAAATACAGTTCACACATTTAATCCCAACATTAGAGAAGTATATAAGTCAAAAGCAAGATCTCAGAGAGGCTATTCCTTCTCCATCCACACTGAA